CGCGATAGCTGCGTTAGCTACTTCGTTTACTTGTTTCAGAAACTTGCCCGAGTGAGAACGCTTCGTTGGCGACTTCCCACCGTCGCTATTTTCATGCTGTGCGTTGTTTCCTCGTACTATTTCTTCATTCCTTAGTCTCGGTGATAATCTGGTGTTGACAGAAGAAGCCAAGGTGTCGCTTGCTGAACTACTCATCTCGTTTACGAGAAATGAGGATACACCAAATCTTGGCGCCATTTTTTGGGGAATTTCTATACACGTGCCAAAGAGTTATGAATTGCTATGATTGTGGATTTGCAGTTCCTTTGGCTTTGGAACTGTATCGAAAGTTGTTGACAAACGCAAGACATTTACCTGACCCTGTTGTACGCTCATATGTGTTTTATCAAACAAAGAGACTCTTTAGAGAGCGTCAATTCGAGTTTGGACGACAAAAACTGGTATGTTTCTTTTGTAAGCTTGTCTTCTCCTTGAATCTAATGGAAGGACCATCGAAGACGAACCATTTAAAACAAGGTGGATATGCGTTGCGTGTAGTCAGAAGAGCTGTTGGAGGAGATACCAAAGCATTTGGAAAATTAGTAGCCCTAGCTTACTGTATAAAGGGTAGTGGAAAGCACGACTTGGGCATTGAATGGGACAAGGATAACAAAAAGCGAAAGTCAAATAAGAAGAACCGCTAAAAGCCTTGCTAGTGCGCCCACTTTACTTCCCGAGCCACTTCAAAGAGTCATTGAAAAACAAGTTACTATCTTTCCCCGGTCTCTTAGACGTGTCTATCGTCAAGTTGTAGGATTCGATGACGTATTGGTAAGAATAAAAGTGAAAAATCAGTCAGACCAGGACATGACCAAATATGGAGATTACAAAGTTTCAAAGGTTGGAGAATTAGGAAGCCTACAAGTTTTTCAGGAAAACCGCCTTCCGGAACAATTTGTTTACGAAAGAACAGTCTATTATCATGGTAGAGAAAAAGTACAGCACTTTGCCAGTCAAAAGAAAAATATTCCTCCTTGGCTAGTTCCTTTTTTTGAACAATAAATAGAGAACATGAATATTGAGTAGAGAAGTTCAGCAATAGGGTTTAAAAGTATCTACTTTTTAAGCCTTCACGACCCCATTCACACTTCCAGTCACGTTCAGAAATCTGTTATAGTGGAAAAAAATAGGTTAGCATACCTGCACAACACAGCCTGCAATTTCTTTTCCATGCATATCATGAATAGCACGAGCAGCAACTTCATGAGATTTAAACTTCACGAAAGCATAAATTCTATCTTGTGCTGTCATTCGTGCTGCATCAGGTATCTTTACATCTTCTATATCTCCAAATCCTCGAAACGACTCTCGAATAGCGGCAACATCGATATCTGAGGGAAGTCCTCTAACATAAACACTGACGTTCAGAGGATCCGTCTGTTTCATGATAGTCTGTATATCTGGTTTGGGTGTAACTGTGGAAGATGAAAAGCTTCCGAATGTGGATACTCCCCGAGCAGCATTCTTTCCTCTGGCCCAATCTATTCTTAACGCACGACCAGATAAAATATATCCTGTCATTGTTTGCATTGCTAAATCTGCGTCCTTTTTTTCCCGAAAAGAAACAAAACCGTATCCAGCTGGAAGCCCTGTTTCTACATCTTTCGATATTTTTGCTCCAGCGACAGATGAAAATGAAGAAAAAGCTTTCATCAGCTTTTCTTCGTCCACATCTGGACCCAAGTTTCCAACGAATATCGTATGCATATTGGCCAAATCCTCATCCTGCAAGATTCTACCTGCGGCTCCTGCGCCTGCATGTGCCCAGTCTATCCTTATTTCTTGACCATAAACGCGTCTTCCGTGCATCAGTTCCATAGCACGGATTGCTGTTGGACGGTCATAAAAATCCACAAAACCAAATCCTAAGCTTCTCCCAGTATTTCTGTCTCCTACCACTTTAGCTAGCTTTACAGGACCAATCTTGCAAACAACAATTTATCAAAGATACAAAGAATATTGTCTGTAAAACCTACCAACTCAAAAATCTCTTGTAAGAGCTCCGTACAAACTCTAGGGTCCAAGTTGCCTACATAGAGACTCATACCACTAGGTTGATATATTCCACTTCCTCCTGACATAGTCGTTCTTTGGACAACGAGCACACAATCCTATTCGAAATGACGTATAACAAAGGATTATTGTTTGCTTCAAAATTCATTCTTGAAAATATTCATGGCTTTTGTGTTTCATCAAGCTGTGTTGAAATCTTGCCTTCATTGTTTCTTAAAAAGGAGAAGAACAGATATCCTAAACTGGAATCCCGACAGAGTTTCTATGTGTACAGCCTCGCAGCTCTGCAAGTTTTCTTCCCCTGTTTGCAGAACAAGACTGTTCTGTTGCAGCCTCCAGAAAACAAAGCAGAACAAGGAACGAGGCCAAATTCAAGCGTCGAAAAGAATGAAGTGTTCAAGAAGTGAGAATAGTTTGAATGCACAAAAGTTGTTTGAGACGCAACTGACACAGTCTTACAAACTGGTTCAAGTCTTGAAAAAGCCATTGGCCACCTTCGCTGCAAGGTCGAGTGGAAGAATTGGAGGGAGTCAGTTTTCTGATCCAAGAATGACCCCACCTCCTCGTTCTTATGAATACGGAGGTGGAGGTAGCGGAACGGGTTCTTTCTATTCTCCTTTTCCTGCAACCCCTATTAATATTTTTGGAGGGTTTTATTCTTCACCTTTTATTGCACATTTTGGCTTTGGTAACTTCATGATGTTTCTCACCACGGCAGGAACTATTTTTCCTAGAGAAACAGGAAATAGAAACTTTGGAATCTCAAAGTTAGGTTGTTACAAATGTCATCGCAGATTTTCAGTTGTATATGAAGCTGGCGCAAGGTCGGTCTCTTGTAAACACAACCAAAAGGGTCAGCAACTGTCTCATACCCAGCGTTCAAAACGAATCGGTGATTGGATCATTGTTCAGGAGAACGAAGACATTCGCTCCTTTGCTGAAAGGTTTCAAGTATCCCCAGAAGCTCTCAGAGTAGCCAATGGTTTGGAAACTTGTCAGGAGGAATTGAAGTAGGACAACTATAAACGATCAAAAGTGTATTACTGATGAACTCTAGGCAAGGAGAAATCATCTTTGTACCTTACGTTAACGTACAGAGAAAAATGGAATTGTCCAGGCAACTTCAATTGAGTTTAACTAAAACTCAAAGTGTAGACCTAGACAGAAAATACTCCGTTGTTTCGCAAGCAAGTAACGCGAGCATACCCAAAGGACGACTCAGCCTGTTTCCATTTATTTCAATAGTAGTTATTATGGCTTCACTTCTCTATTTTTTGTCAGAATATGGTACAGGAAGTCTTGCTATGATCTCCGGGTTGTTGAGAAAACGGGCATTGGGAGCTTTATCTTATCCACAACAATTCTTACAATTAAAAAAGTTGAAAGTCGAGGAAAATGAAGGAATGGAATGGATTCTGTGTACATTACGACAAAGAAGGNAGTATTTTTTCGGTTAAGCCACCTCACAACTCATGAGCACTTGTAAGGGAACTGGTTCCGGGAATGACAAGATATACTTTTGATTTGCCTTCAGCAAGAAGAACTCTTGGTTTGGAACTCGGACAAAGGGTAGAGTTTGAAGCAACTCTTTACGAGAAGGAACACGCTGTAATGGGCTCTTACCTACTTTGTACAGAACGAATGCAACACGGTAACTTTGATGTTGTCATTCCTACAACAGCAGATGCAGCAATATCTGGCTTTGATTTGTCTGGAAACAAAGACCCTCAATTTGCTGAGGCGTTGAATGCTCTACAAATTGGAGACAGTATTAGAATGAGACCTGGAGCAAAAATGTTGTATTACAGAGGACCAAAGTCTCCTGTGGACACTCTTTCTGTTGTTTGTGGTGGAGTGGGTGTTGCTCCAATATGCTCTTTGCTGTTAGACATTCTTTCTGACGTGGAAAGCGCTGTAACAAATGTCTTTCTTCTCGTGGTAAATGAACGCCCAGATGAATTTATCTTTTTAGATGAGTTGGAGTCTCTGGAAAAGCGTTTTCCACGTATTCTACGTCTAGCTTGCGTTTGGAAAAAAGTATGTAATGCAAGATTGTACAGAATGATTGCGTCGTTTCTAAGGTATTTGTACTAGGTGGAAGAAGAAAATTCTTGGGATGACCGAGAGAAATATCACTTCATAGAAAGAGCTGTTGCAAGTCACTGTCCAGTTTGGAAGGAGGGTACGATGTCATTGTTGTGCGGTTCTGAAAAATGGTTACTTCCACACGCGCTAAAGTCTTTTCGTCGCCTGGGATACTCAGAGGAAGTTACTGTCTGCCTATAATAGACCGCAATAAAGCAGCATCCATTTTAGAGATCATTGAATTTAAAATTGCAATGAAAAATGCCCACTTTCGCGCCTTGATCTAGTTCATGGATTGGGATATATTAACTCCGTCTCAACCGGCAAGGCTTTCGATAAACAGAAAGTCAGGTCGCTGGAACAATGAGGAAGGATGGAAAGCATATTTTCCTGAAGAAGCGGATACAGAGTTAATGGACTCAGACGCTCATAGAACAAAGGTCGAGGGACGAAAAACCATAGTAGAGACTTTCTATCAATTTTTTGAGAATGAAGGAATCGGATTGCTCCAAAAAGCAGTCGAAGGAAAAGTAAGTTCTTTACTCTTCCTTCATCTACTAACGTCTTGAAGAAAACTGGAACTTTCGTATCTTCGATATTCTTTGACTATCGAGCTTTTAAGGAATGCTGCCCAATATCAGACTTGGAGAATGCAATATGTAATATACCAGAAGAAACTATTCCGTGCCTAAGCCTTGCTGCTATAAGATTTCTAGAGCACTTATCGGACCAAATAGAACAACAAGGCATAAACGAAACTCTCGCTTTTCAATATTCTCACACATTTTTGGAGGTCCTCAAGTCTATACCTCCAGTAAATCCTGGCGCCAGACCGTGGGTCCGTTTCTACAATTTGGAGCATTTGACCCCTCTGAAGGACTTGAAAGCAGCATTTGTGGGAAAACTAGTGTCTGTCACGGGAACTGTCATCCGTGTCAGTAATATTCGACAGCAAGTTCTTGCGATGCCGTTCACTTGTTGTCGATGCGGAAATGAAATTATGAAATATCTCCCGGACTATAAATACTGTGTGCCTCACAAGTGCATATCTGATGCATGCAAATCGAAATCGTTCAAACCTGTTAGAAACAACGCACTCACAGTCGATTGGCAGAAAATCCGTATTCAGGTAGGACGCGAATTATTCAACTCTCCCTTTACTTAATTTCAGAAAGGAAGCGGGAAACGAGACTAAATCCAAAGAAGCTGGAAGAATGCCAAGAATGATAGATATAGAACTTACTGGAGATCTCATTGATAGCTGTCACCCTGGAGATGTTGTCTCAGTTTGTGGTGTTATAAAGGTTCTGCCAGTTTCAGGAGAGAATGGAAACAGAAATGAGCAGACTCAAAAAAGTTTGCACCATCTTTATATTGATGCTAATTCCGTCATAAAGGGATCAAAGGGTTTCTCAACTGAAGAAAACATAAATATGATGAAGCCTCTCAGGTTCCGCCGTGAAGACATAGCTGTCTTTAAGAAAATTGCTCAAGAGGACGATGCGTTTTCAATCATTGTGAAATCTTTGTGCCCTTCTATATATGGAAATGATATTATAAAAGCTGGTTTAACACTCATTCTCTTCGGTGGTCAGTCCAAGAAAGAGTCCAACTATCAGGACAACCAGCAGATTCGCTCCGATCTCCACTGCCTCCTAGTAGGTGATCCAGGTTTAGGAAAATCCCAAATGCTCAAATCTATCTGCGACTTGTCTCCAAGAGGGGTGTATGTTTCAGGAAACAGCAGTTCAGCCGCTGGATTAACTGTGACAGTTGTAAAAGAACAAGGATCCGGAGATTACTCCCTTGAAGCCGGTGCTTTGGTTCTAGGAGACCAGGTAACATTGCATTATTTTAATGATATGCTATCAAACTCAGCTTCTTAGGGAATTTGCTGCGTGGACGAGTTCGACAAGATGAGAAACGAACACCAAGCATTATTAGAAACTATGGAACAACAGAGAGTTTCAATAGCAAAGGCAGGAATTCTTTGCAGTTTATCAGCTCGGACAAGTGTTATCGCAGCTGCGAATCCCTGCAAGGGTCATTACGATAGCTCCAAAACTATTTCTGACAATCTAAGGATGTCTCCTCAGTTGCTTTCCCGCTTCGATCTCATCTTTTTAATGCTTGACAAGCCTCATGAGAGTAAAGATCGGCAACTTGCAGAATACGTGACTTCAATGCATTTAAAACTATCCCAGAAACCTTCGGACACAAGAAGAAGCTGTGGAGAAACAGGAAGCCAGTTGAAACTGACAAACTCAGAACTCAGTCTAACAACGCGACTCGAGAAGACAATACCAAAGGAAAAACTACTTCCTCATAGTATATTTCGGCGCTACGTTAGCTTTGCAAAAAGTACCATACAACCGGTAAATCACTACAATTTTGAGTGAAATTCTTCAACTGACTGTAGTTACAGCGGCTAAATAGCTCGGCAAAGAAAGTTCTTAAGGAACTTTACTTGGAGTTACGACGTCAAAACAAAAATGAAGCTGATTCTATTCCAGTTACAACACGGTTGTTGGAGAGTCTTGTCCGGTTAACGGAGGCTCGGGCAAGATCCGAACTACGTACCGAAGCAACAGAAGCTGATGCCAGGGTAAGCTATTTTAAAGTTCAAAGAAAAAGAACCAACTGTTTCTCAGGATGTTGAAGAAATTATCAGACATTCGATAATCATGACTCAGGGTCAAATGACGGCAAAACTGAAGGGACCTAAACGTGGTAGTCAAGCAACGCAATTTAAAAAGTTCCTTCGCATTTTACAGGCCGAGGCTTCTCGAACGACCAAGACTCTCTTTTCAAGCGAAGACCTCAAAGAAATCGGAAAGCGACTTTTCATTTCCAACGAACAAGTGAAAGAATTGGTGGAACGATTGAATTATGAGGGCTTCTTGATTCGAAAGCGTGACCAATGGAAGCTCATGACTTGTGATTTGTAAGATTCCACTCCGTCACGTAATAGTAGCAAACTTTATTTTTGATAGCTATGGCTCACTTCTGGAGACTTTCTAGAGGCATCTCGCGACGATTGTTTTCCAATCACAGGACTTTTTCTTCTGTTAGCGAAGAAGCTCGTGAGAGACTTGAATATGACTTGGTAATTGTTGGAGCCGGTCCTGCTGGTTTATCGGCAGCCATTCGTTTTAAACAAAAGTGCCAGGAAAGCGGAGTGGATCTTGGTGTGTGTATACTGGAAAAAGGTTCAGAAGTTGGAGCTCATATTCTTTCGGGAAACGTTTTTGAACCAAAGAGCTTGAAGGAATTGTTGCCTGATTATGAGAAACGCAATCCTCCCTTACACACATCTGCCAAAAAGGACGAATTTTACTTCTTGACTCAATCGAGAGCGTTCAGACTACCTACACCTCCGCAAATGCACAATAAGGGTAATTTTGTCATTTCACTTTCGGAGTTGACTCGTTGGTTAGCAACAGAAGCAGAGCAGTTGGGAGTTGAAATATATCCAGGGTTTGCAGCAAAGTCACCTGTTTATGACTCCAAGGGAAAAGTATGTGGAGTTGTTACAAACGACTTTGGCATCGCCAAAGATGGCAGCAAAAAGCCGAGTTTTCAACCTGGCGTCGAAGTCCGTGGAAAAGTGACACTGCTTGCGGAAGGATGTCGTGGTTCGATCTCTAAGGAAGTTATGAAACACTTCGACTTACAGTCCAATTGCGACCCCCAATCATATGCACTTGGTGTGAAGGAAGTTTGGAAAGTACCTGAGGAAAAGCATCAGGCTGGTCTAGTTGTCCATACTGTTGGTTGGCCGTTGGACAGTAGAACCTATGGAGGATCATTTATCTATCATATGTCTGATTCGCGCATAGCGCTAGGGTTAGTTATTTCATTAGATTATGAAAATCCTTATTTGTCCCCTTATCAAGAACTACAGAAATTTAAGACCCATCCCAAAATATCGAAGATGCTTGAGGGTGGTGAAGTTATTCAGTATGGAGCTCGATCACTGAATGAAGGCGGTTTTCAGTCCATTCCAAAGTTGGCATTTCCTGGCGGAGCATTGATTGGTTGTTCTGCTGGGTTTTTAAATGTACCGAAGATTAAGGGTACTCACACTGCGATGAAGAGTGGAATGCTTGCTGCAGAAAGTGCATTTGAATACTTGAATGGAAGCAAACAGTACTCAGAGGGTGAAGTAGAACTAGAAAATTATGAACGTGCTCTACGCAACTCTTGGGTTTATGATGAATTGTCTCGAGAAAGAAATATTCGACCTGGTTTTCGATGGGGTCTTATTGGAGGTTTAACCAACGCTGCAATAGAAACTTACATATTTCATGGGAAAAGTTTTTGGACTTTACATCTGCCACATGAAGCAAATGAGAGCTTAAAACCTGCATCTTCTTCCAAAAAGATCGTTTATCCGAAACCTGATGGGAAACTCACATTTGATATTTTGACATCTGTCGCGTTGAGTGGTACCAATCATGATCATGATCAACCTCCACATTTAAAAGTTAAAGATTCTAAAGTCGCAGAAGAAGTTAACTGGAAGCTCTATGCTGGTCCAGAAAGTAGATATTGTCCTGCAAGGGTTTACGAATATGTGGAAGACGATTCAGGACAGCCAAAATTACAGATCAATGCTCAAAACTGTTTACATTGCAAAGCATGTGATATTAAAGACCCAAAGCAAAATATACAATGGACTGTTCCAGAAGGTGGTGGAGGTCCAAAGTACACAGTTATGTGACAATTTTGGAAACTTTAAAATAAAAGGATTTAAGCTTATTTCTTAAAGTGATTGGTCATACTCTTGAGAATGCATAAACAAATGAGTGAGCTTGCGATAAAGTAACGTAGTTTATCATTGTAACAACGAATCAATTGGAGTCAAAAATGGTTATTCGATGCCTCATTTCCGATTGATTATATTTATAATTATCTGAGCGATGTTACCAAGGAAAAGTCAAAAGACTTCTCTCGACAACTCGAAAGTAATTTACAGTTCAAAGAGTTCAAAAGGCAATGGTTCCCAAAATTCCAAGGGACGCATATAGGGAGACATTTGAAATGTTCTACGTTGCTATCAGTATTCATATCTAAAGAATCCATTCTTTCATGCCTACCTTTGGGAATCCAAGCAGCTCAGCGTCCTATTTTCAGCATGTTTCGAAGTCAACGTTTTGAAAATAATGTCAACCAAGTCCTGCTTGGAAATGCTACCGTATCCCTTGGGTGATTCTGTTACTATTGCTTGACCCGTTTTCTACAAAAAGAAAAGTCATATAGAGCTCAACATAGACTTTTCAAGTTTGCATACCAAACGTTCTTCCAAAGGGCCGATTCGTAAAATAGTATGTACAATTCCTTTCCAGTGATTAGAAATGAAATAAACAGAATTCTTTCCATGCGCACCACTATTTCTAACTAAATGTTCCACATGCGTCTGTGTTTTCAACTGCTGTCTGATGACTGGTGCAATCTCGGAAGGAACTACACAAGCACTATCTCCAGCACCTATCGAACTCAACAGAATCAAACGCATCTGACAATTTCTATCCAAAAATTAGATAAGAGTGCGATGTAATAAAATAGACAATTCGTTCCATTACTTTGCTGCAGTAACCAAGTTGGAGATGTATTCTTCACAATTTTCAACAGAGTTACTCATTCCTGAATGCAAGTCTACAATAATATGTGTCAAATCTAACCAACGAAGACATCTTTCTATGGAGGGAATGTCACCAAGGTTAACAAAGAGTGACGAGTCCTTTCCAAATATGAAAAAAGAAGCGTCAGGTTTCTTGCATCTACAAAGACTTTGCTCATACCGTAGACGGTGTGTCTAAACAGAGTACTGAACCCTTCATACCAGTCCATAAGCACTAGACGTGTTTAGCATATTAAAGTTTCCTACCTTGTGCAGGAACATAAAACCAACTACTTTGTGGTCACCTACAACTGCTTCGTTAAATAAATTCAATTGATCTCCTGGTGGACTTGCAACCAAAGTACGGAGGTGACAAGATGTCCTACCAACATGAAACGTTGAAGCAAGTTTCTGAAAACAAGTTTCAATTGGCCTGCTATGATTGGAGTATCCAGAAAGGGTCCTTCCACCGAGTCGACTTGTATTATTGTGTATTTTATACTTGAGAGAAGGCTTTGCTCCAAAGCAACCAACGAAACAAGAAACTTCCCTATCACTCATAAGTATCTTATTACGTTTCAACGAAAATTTCTTTTCCAATGACGCAATGTGACTCATTCTTTTCATATTTTCCAATATTGTAAACTAAGCAATCCAATTCCTTCATGGCACTGTCATAGTAAGTAGATGCTGCCCCCACCGTCGTTGTTATTCAAAGGAAGTCATTCCAAGTTTCAACAAGAATATTGCAAACCATGTTCATAAAGAAAACTGAATCAATCCGTATGGGATACAAACCTCCCATTTGTGAAATAGTTCGCGTCTCATAAAAAATTCTGTTCTTATGTAGTCAAATACTTTATATCGTTCCTTTGTTTTGGCCTTTTTTTAAATCTCGTCTTGAAGTATTCTTTTACGTATATCGTTCATGTACTCTACCATAAAAATGGCATTGTGCAAAGATAAAAGTGTTAAAGCCATCGGTTCTCGTGCTTTCAATAGATGATGAAGATAAGCCAAAGTTACATCTTTCAAACCCCATTCAGGATCAGGAGGCTCAAACATGTTTTTATATTTTGACTGTGAGATATGCAAAACTCCTCGGCGAGTAAATAAATTTCCATGTCTTCCAACTCGAAAAGGGTAACAGGAATCCATTGTGTCCACTCCTAATGGAACAACACGTTCAATAGACTCCAAATCTGCAATTCCTAGCAGGTGATTAGGAAATGCAGTAGGTAGTCGAGGCATCACAAACTCTAAGAGTTGAAACAGTTCCTGACGATTCTTTCCAAGACTCCCTCCAATAGCAAATCCATCAAACGGTAAAGAACATAAAAAGTCAATACTTTTCTGGCGCAGTTCGGTATCTATTCCTCCATGAATTACGGCATACATTGCTTGATTCTGTACATTCCTTCGATGTTCTTGTAAGCTTCGTAGTTCCCAACGATGCGTCAAGTTCACAGATTCCTCCAATTGACTCCTTTCCATATGATAAGGAGGCAACTCATCTAAAGGAATGATGATATCTCCTTTCAAACTCTTTTGTATTTGAACAGAATATTCGGGAGTAAGAGTTACTTTTGAGCCATCTCTATAAGAACGAAATGTAGCACCTTCTTCGGTCACTGAAAGCAACAAACTCGTAAAATTCTTGTTCCCTCCACTTCTCGACTTCATATTCAACTCGTCATAAACCGAACCGTGAGAAAGTGAAAATACTTGAAATCCTCCACTGTCCGTAATAATGGCTCCTTTTCTATTCATAAACTTGTGTAACCCACCAGCTGCTTCAATAACACAAGGACCAGGATGCAATAGCAAGTGATATGTATTGCAAAACATCAACTGTTGTCCAGCTTCACTTACCAAACGATGGTCGACGTGTTTAAGTGCAGCGTTAGTGGCTACCGCTACATAAGCTGGTGTATCAACAATTCCATGAGGTGTGTAAATCCTGCCGACTCGAGCACGAGACTTGCTTGATTGATGAACAATTTCAAACCGAAAAAAGTTTTGAATCTCTTCTTTCTCTTCTACACGAAAAGCATCTTTACAAAGTTGTCTACTATTTGGCTGATAATTAAAATAATATGGGATATGCCGGTTACCTATCCAATGAGAACATCTTCTATTGGTTCCAAATAGCAGCCGTCGGAAGCGATGAACGGCAATCATCATCTGCGCAGACCAAGAGAAATGAATTGTTTTTTGTCTACATTAAGCCTTTTGGACGGTGGCTGGCCTTTGTCTCTTTTTTTCCAGTTTTACAAGTTCAGTCATTGACTCTTATTCTACCCCGGCATAGTATTTATTTAGCTTAGAGAATTGAATGCGTGTTCCTGAATTTTTCAATACCCCTCTAACTTGTGAAATATCCATGAATGGAACTTGTAAGAACACAGACCACTTGAGAGAAGAGAGAGTGGAAGATGTAGCCGGCGGTAAGTGCAACCAACGAACACTTCAAGTTGTCTAAAAGTATTTGTTGTGGTTATGTAGGATTATTAAAGGGCCATTTGGACCTTGTGGAGTCCACAGATTCGACCACAGAGAAGAGTTTTTCTGATAATCGCTCAGTTTCTTCTTCAGGCTCGAGTAATGTCCAGGATACAATAACAACCAACTTGGGGGAGTCATCCGACAGCTTTGAAAGGCACAAATCTCTTGTAAATGTTGCTCAAGTTTTGTTGGAGTCTATTGGTGAAGACGTTAACCGAGAAGGTTTGAGAAAGACACCCGAGCGATTTGCAAAAGCAATAGAGTTTTTGACGAGCGGTTATCAACAGAGCGTTGAAGAAGCAGTGAACGGTGCGTTGTTTGAAGAAGATGTTGACGCACAGGAACCAGTCACAGTAAGAGATATTGATGTTTTTTCTCTCTGTGAACATCATATGCTTCCATTTTTTGGCAAATGCACCGTTTCGTATGTTCCAAATAAGAAGGTCATTGGCCTTAGTAAATTAGGAAGAATTGTGGACATTTTAAGCAGACGTTTGCAAGTTCAAGAAAGATTGACCAAGCAAATTGCGGAAACAATTGAGAAAATTACGGAAGCACACGGAGTTGCAGTGGAAATGGAAGCAAGGTAAGTATGGAGTTGTCGTTATTTTGGAGTTTGAGTTGAATATACTGCACAGACACTTATGTATGGCGTGTCGAGGTGTACAAAAGAACAATGCAGTAACAATAACTCGTTCAATGAGAGGCGTGTTTAAGAATAATGCTATTTTGAGACAAGAATTTTTGAAAAAGTAAATGGTTTGGATTACTTGTATGAGATAGCTAGCACAGTTTATAATGAACTCCGAAAAGTTGCTTCATTCATTTGGATAAGTGTCCAATGCATTCTTCGACAACCAAAAACAACCATATCGAGCAGAAGATGGGAGAAACAAAAATGATGTTCTTCATAAAGGATATATATTTGTTGCAAGATGTGGTTCACATTTGGAAGAAGTATCGTCTAACTGCAATCACTACTCTGGTACAGGAAGAACAGGTCTTGGAAGACTNTCTTTCCGACAATAAAAGTACATATATGCTTGTCCTAAATACGGAGACTCTGCAATACTCACTTTCTCGTCNTTNAATAGTATCCAATGTGAACCAGCATGAGTATATGCGACATAATGTCCACTNCTGGTGGAAGAACCTAAATGGACTACAGCACCCAATAGCTGATAACTCGTCTCTTCTGAGGAAGGTGCCCAACAGGTACCACTCAAAGAGACTCGTTCGTCCATTTGTTGAGAACTGCCTTCNTCTGCTTCNTTCATATCNGGATGACTNAATAACCAATCCAATGCTCGTTCTACCGAAAAATCNCATTGAAGTAAAGCACGTTTTGCATCTTGTGCACGAAATCCCATGTTTACAAGGATCTCTACTTGTTCNTTCATTAGAGAAGAATCTCCAACAGGTGACTCNTCTTGTTTTTGACTCCCTGTCAACCAAGCTACAGCATCTTCCAAATTTGAACAACTNCTTTCCGTTAAGGCTCTCTCCACAGTCTCTTTGGGAAATCCTATCTGGATGAGTTGGTTCAAAAGTTCGATATTGACTTTCGAAGAAGGAAGTGCTATTTCNTCTTCTTTCGGTTGACAACCTTGTCCAGCAGTCTTCCAGTTGCTTAGGTTTATCTCCAAAGGAACGTCNATATTNTCTCTTAGTTTCACTGGCGTCCAACCTTCGCCAATTCCGAATCTTCTNACAGTAATAGGAAGAATGCATGGAAAAGTCTGTATCCTNTTGGACTTGCTGGCTTTCGCTCGTCTTGATGATGTTTCTGAACAGACTGGACAGTCNAATTCNACCCATTCTTCCCTNAATGCAGCTTCCAAACAGTCCTCCAACGTAACTTGAGCTGAACAAGTATCTTTCATGGCAGACTCNAGGGGCACATCTAAACCAGAACAAGACACTTCCAAGTATCTTACTCCTTTNCAACTNTCNCACTGCAGTCGTTGACACATATTGAATTTGAATGACTCTAAAAGATCGGGAATATAACGCTTGTAATATAGCGAACACCTTTGTAAAGTAACCAATAGAAATTGCAAGAATTCTGAGGCATCCTGTTGTCTCATGGAGGAGAATTCTGGATGACTGCGTGCTACAGCCTCTTTCACAAACTTGTTAAGATACCTTACAAGCTAAATAGCAAGTTCTTACTCTTTAACATTCTTGGCGCTATTCCTTTGGGCTGCATATCNCCATCNCTCTTCTTGACGAATCCATATTTNCCGCTNTACAAACCGTAACCCAACT